ACAGCCTGATGCTCATTCTTCATCTTTAGTGACGGTGGTCTTTGAAAAGCTGCAGGATGTCTTAATTCCTCTCAAATTTTCATTTTGAGGGTTAATTAACATACGGAGACATTGTGAGACTTGTATAGAGAATGTATAGCCTGTGATCACATACCTCAATGAGTAAGTCTGAGATATCATGGGCAATTTCTTCCCTGCTTTCTAGCTCTAGCTCTTTCCATCCCTAGCTGGACGTAAGCACAGATATTTTTGTTATTCTGGTAACACAGGAGAAGGCTGTTGATCATTAGTGTATGATGAATTAGAGAGCACATACAGACTTGCAGGTCTACACTCTCTATAGAATGCTATATAGTGAATATGGCTGATACCTTTTTAATGAGAAAGTAGACTAATAGAAAGGATTTGTTGTTAAAGCTATGTTTTCTTTGGGATACAATGTAAATGATCTGCCTGAGGAGCAGACGACAGGCCTAATTCATCCCCAGTGTAACTTTACTGGACTCAGTTGATTTGCATGAGATCGATTAGGTTCATTCTTTTGAGGAGAGGAAAAAAAAAAGAAGTCAAGAATTACATAGCTGGGAAGGTGTCCAGTTAGTATCTTATATATGAAACTTTTATGCCAGGTTTAGAGACTCAAGTACTTGATGTTGGGGCGTTAAAGATAAATATAAAGTAGAATTCAAAGTTATTGTCATGGATTGCAATTATTAATGATTTTTTTTCAAGTTGTGTTATGAATGACTTTTTTCCCAAGTTGTGTAAACATAAAAAGGAAGCCACTCCCTTCCTTCGATACTCTAGAACTTTTTGCTTAGAATATTTAGGTTAAGAGTGACTTGCGTTCTTCCAGATGAGTGTGATTGATTGTTCTGTTTTCCTTTTCTTCTGTACTGAGTCAGAGGGGTAGTGAAGCCAACTCAGAAGCTGTTAAGCCCCTTCTTAGAAAGAGTCAGGAAGAGGAATAGATGAGAACTATACTGAGATCTTTAATTAAGCATGCTGCATAACAGAGGTAGAGAGGATTCAGTGACAGAGGACTGGAACAATTTGAATTAGCATTATTTCAAAAACTTCCAGGGGATATTTTAAATGAGTCATTCAAAGTTATTAGAAAATAAGAAAAGGAGATGCATTACAATCATTAAAATCCCTTTCATTGCAAGATAAAATGTTTGTACATCTTGCAAGCGTTAATAATTCAAACTGATATAGTAGCCTATAGAGTGAGACTTGCAAGACTTTCTAGCAATTACATGCAGCATGAATTTTACATTTGCCAAGTACCACAAGAATAATCCACGGATTTCAGGGAGGGTGCTTTTCCCAGATGGGTGTATGGCATCTTGGCAGGAGATGGATTTCCTGCTCTCCCTGCAGTGAATTCACTATGGCACAGGCACTTACTTCATCCTGCTGGTACCGCAAGTGTTCACAAAATCTCAGTTTCCTGATCACAAGAAACATTCAAATGCCTTATTACTTGTGTTATGATATAAAGATGGGCCTCACTCCAGTAAAGTCCCCTTGAATAGCAGGGTGGTTGAGATGTGAAAAATAGAGAGATCACATCAGGGAAGAGCAGTTGAGGAATCATAGCAGGAATACAGTAGTGCAGATATGTTAGTTCAGGTAGTGCTTGGAACTTGCAGTTTTGTTTGTGTTTGCTCATCAGCAGAAGATACGAACTACCAAGGCTTTTGAAATTAGAGAGACCACAATTTAACTGCAGAAATGTGCCGTACCTCAAGATAATTAGATGCTATGAATTTCCATAAGGTTTAGGTAACCTTAGGAACTCATGTATAACTTCAAAAGTGAGCTAAAGACTAAATTCACTTAAACATTTTTTACTTGTTTTCTATAATTTAATAATTAATCAGGAGAAATATTTGTACTCATTTACAAATGTAGTATTGCATAAGAAAATACATGGACAGAGCACCATCTAGTGCAGGATACCACTAACATTAAAGCCTTTCTGCTCATATGTCACTTGTCTATGTTTAGCTAATTTAATGTGAACTAGCACGCTGCAGAAAGTGCCAGCCCAGTGGCTCCTGTGGCAATGTAATTTTGCAATTACACGGGAGACCATGAAAATTACTTGGGACCTTTTGCAAGGACAACAAAACTGCATGCACTGAAATTCAGGTAATCATCTATGAGAACCAGATCCTTTTAAGAGGAATACGCTTATCTTCCTACCCACAGTGTTGGATGATATATTCATTAAATCATTCAATCCAACATTCAATCCTAATTTATAAATTAGGTTGGACACTGTTTCTCACAATAGATTTAGAGACCCAACTGCCATTTTAGGTGCCTTAAGTACACCATTTAGCTGCTCAGAGCCTTTGCTCAGCTTCTGCAGAACCTCAGAGCTACCCAGGCTCCTTAAGCCAGGCATTCAGAGCTATGCAAACCATGACTAACAGGCAAGATGAAAGATCTGACTGTCATTAAGAAGGGAAGAAAAGAAGAAAGGAAGGAAGCTTAGATTCTATAGGAGACAGGTAAAAGAAGCTTATACACAGGTGTTTATGAGTTGCTGAGGAAGGACAGAAAAAAGTGAGCTACAGTGGGTTTTTTGCAAAGGCCGTATTTTGGTTCTTCTGCAAGCAAACAAACATGAATTTGGCCCCAGGCTTGTTTAATCAATGTTTGGATATCAACATTATGTTTCTGATGCAATCTACTTAGCATTAGCGTAGGGTCAAGAGGAACTGTCTTAGTTAACTCAAGATGTAGCAGTAACAAGCTGGATTTCATCCTGCACTAAACAAAGGTTAAGAGGGCCCTCAGGTACATGGAAATTATTATTTTTGGATGAACACTATGTATTCAACAAAAAACTAATTAAGCGTCAAAGAGCCACTATCACTGTAAAGTTTTACATTCTCTTTGAACAAGTACTTTAGCAGAAAATGAGAGCTTTTCTCTCTCTGAGCATACATTGCACATGGATTTTGGCTGAATGCTTGAAACCTTGACAATTTCCCAGTTCTCAGACCTCTGAGAAAACAGCAAGCATATGCTCATATTCATTTCAAAGTACCTTCTGGTTTTGAATAGCTCTGGTTTTTGCTTTCTGAGTTGACCTCTTAATAGACAATTTAAAAAAAAAAAAAAACCAAGACAGAAATAAGTGCAAATTTTTGAAAATTTAGATACAGAATACTTCCCTGGATACTTTTTCTGCTCTTTCTACCTCTTTTACAACTGCCATAGAGAACCTCCTACTGAAGAAAAAGCTGCATTTTCATTCTTTGTGAGCTAATGAGGAGTAAACTAAAGGAACGTGATAGGAATGTTCACAGACCTGGCAAGCTGTGGTTCGATTCCCCTTTCTGGGTGTACCATTTTTTTAACAGTGAGGAGAAGTAGCTTTGACAGAACAAAAAGTTATACTTACAAAAGGGGTTCAAGGATTGGTGTCAGGAGTAACAGTTTAGGGAATGGTGGGGAGCGGTAGGCTCTAGATAGGCAGTAGAGCCGAAGAGAAGAGTTTCCACTGGAAAGCAGTAGGCCAGATTGCAGTACCTCAGCTCTGTCAATGCATACTAGACATTCTAGGGAAAACAAATGTTGTAGCATATAAGACTCTTTTACTGTTCATTTAATTCATCTGGGCTTGTGGTTTCCATTCTTTTAATCTCCAAAATGTTTATCAAATGGAAGAAAACAGAAACAGACAACTGAAAATATAAAGTTGTTTCCCTTGAACAAATATTACAAAAAGATGCACTTTTGATTATGCGTTGCTGGTAGCTATCATTCTGGTTTTTATTAAATCATGCTCGACAAAACACTTTCCTTGTTATTTCCTTGAGTCTTATTCTTCTTCTTTTGGGTTATATGATTTGTATCAAATGGTATGTATTCATATTCAGCTATTTGGGAGTTATGTTGTTCTGTCTAATGCCTGAACAAATAAACATGCCTTTGTTCTGCTATCTTGTAAGAATAAAGACTACCTTAAAACATGTTCATACCTGTTGAGGAAATAAATTAATAAAAACAGGCAAGCCAGGCAGAGAAAAGAATTCTCTTCCAAGCTGTACTCTCTTGTCTAGTAGCTATTTAAACTTGCCTTTTGAAAAGAAAAGGGTTGCTTATTTGAGAACAATTATATGACCATTTTGAATTACAACACTTCCACATGTTTCTCCTGTGGCTCAAAAGATTTATTACACAAAGAAAGGCCATAGAAAGATGGTAGGAATTAAATACCGTATTTGCATATTGCTAGCAGTATGATAGATGCTTTTCAGACAGCTAGGATATGAAAGTCCTTGTTCTGAAGATCATTCAGTCCAAGTAAACATATAAATGCATTTTAAGATGTACAAGGAAAGATTTGACCCTCCTTAATTTTATGATTTCCAATAGAGAAAGGGAGTAAAATTTTACATGACAATATGACACAAGCACCCTAACTCAGCTGAAAAATTTCATTAGTGTTCTTGTAAGTAAGTAAAGAGGATGGATTTATGCTGCAGCAAAGAAAAGAATTACTGCAGATTTTATGAACCCAGTCTGTACATGCTAAGAGTCATCTTTGTGTGCTAGAGATCCAATTTTCCTGTACTTAAATCCTCCATGTCTTTTATTTAAATTATGGGGAATATGATCTGCCTTGATACTCTCCAAATACATGAGCTAATCTTTCCATTTTCCTGTGAAAAACTAAGGGTGTTTTTACAATTTCTACATAATGTCATCCATGTTTTTATGAAGAATTAAATCCTTCTCCTCTCAGAGTAGCAAAAGAATTGGAAAATCATGATGGGAAATACTGTACTTACAACAGCTTTTTAAACTATTCCAAAACTTCCATTGTATTATTAACAGCGCATACCTACAGGCCTATACTATACCTATACTGCAGATTTTTTTCAGCACCATTTTTACATGATAACATTATTTTTAGCTGCTTGAACCCCCCTTTTTTTTTCTATTTAATTCCCTTTTTCTGTTTAGGTGTAATCTGATTTATTTTACTGAGTGAGATTGTTTCATATGAACCTCTCTTTTTCCCCCCAGTTATTCTATACATTCTCCCTCCCTTATTCCAAGCAATGCTTTCAAGGATTCTTGCCAAACTTTTGGGTTTGGAGGATGGAAATGGAAGGAAAAACGGCCATACAGGGAGTTATCATTCAGTTGAGCTGTATTCATATCAATGTAGTTATAAATTGACTGATAGATTGGAAAAAATTAGTTTCAATTATGTTAAGCTTGACTGAAACTGGCTGCCAGGTTCAAAAACTGTATTTGGACAGAGGGAGAGAGACTGGCAGTCCAACCACAAAACTAAAATTATTTTAGGAAAGCAGGAAAATAAAAGTGCCCAAGTTTGGCTCAGAGTCATGTGTTTTTTAAAATCTTCATTTTCATCCGCTCAGTAGAAGTGGATTAATTTCATCAGATAGCTTTCTAGAGCAAGTTCCTGTCTTCTCCATGGCAGCAAGCACTAACCAGTGATTCTTGTTATTAGTGGCTATTAGAGTCTATTGAGGTGCTAGGCACAAAAGCCAGTGGTAGGCGGAGTCTTTGTTATGATTTTTCCTGTACAGCTGCAGCTTGAGAAGGGGGACAGCTCAGAGAGACAAGACAAGGACATAGGAAAAGATAACAGGCTTAGAAGCAGAATCACTTTGAAGTGACTGAACAGGGCATTCGAATTTGGCAGGTTGTGGAGACTAACAGATACATAAAGAAGGTAAAGATTTATAGACTCAAGCACTAAGAACCTCCAAAATGCCAGATTTTAGTTGCACATGAAATACATTTCCCATGGTAGTTTATGTTCAAAGCGTAGCCACATTAAAATTAGTTGCAGCTTTTGTTATTTAGTCTTTTGGTAAACTCCAAATGTCAATATATTAAAGTCCAGTTTTTGTCCTGTTATTTTTCTCCAAAATAAGAGAAAGGCATGATTATTACCAAGAAGAAAGGCATAATTACTGACCATCTAAAAACATTAGATTGAAATGATGTGACCAGCCCTAGACATACTTCAGCAACAACAGACAATCCACTTCCGTACACTGGATTCAATTGATTCTAGCCTGGTAGCATCCCTCCTCTTCCTTCAGTTCCCTGCCTCATTCTTTATACTTTTTATGTATGCTATGTACACAACACAGGCAACAAATAATTCAGAGGAATTTACAGGCAACTCGCTTCTAAAGTCTTGAATCATTCCAAAGAAAATATATTCCATCCACTGAGTAAACCAGCCTTACGCTTGTATTCAAATAGTTATTTGGTTGCAATAGGTACAATTCACTTCCATTTTTGCAACAACACAGTGACAATACTGGGGTGTTTTTAGAAAGTGAAAGGATTTGTAGTTACTGCAGAAGCCAAAAATTCTCCACATCGATGAAGATGTCCTTATTCCTAGGTGAACACTTGCCTTTTTAAAAAAATCCTGTACACATATTAGCACTAGTATTTGTATCTACAGACTCATGGGCCAGACTGTCTTCTCATTTACATCTCATAAAACTACTGGATGCAGAGGAATTACTCCAGATTTATAAATGCATAGATGAGAAGCAAAAATCTGCCCATCTGTTTTAATTTGGATTGATTTGCTAAAAGATTAACTAGATCTTAATAAAATACTTAAACAATATTAGGTTCAAAGTCTGCTGGTCTGACTTTCATGACCACAGATTTCAGAGAGTACCACCACCCATGCCAAGTGTACCAAACAATCCCGTTGTCTGTCTTTGCAGTATAGGGGCCATTGTAGTACAAACCGTTCAAGTTGGCAGAGTGACACCTGGTGGAAAAGTAAAGGAAAACAGAAATAAGCTCTCCTGTCGAAGAGTTGCAAGCATTTGTAATTTCTGCGCATGTCAAAAATTTCGCCATGTTGACAGCTGCAAAAACTTGCATTCGTGGACTTCAGTGCGCCTAAACAATAACAGTTTAATTAGGGCACAACTACTCTTAGCTTCTTTGAAACAGAAGTTCTTTTTGTTCTTTCCACACATTTTCTGACGTTACTAGCTTCTGAGTTTTACCTGCTAATCTGTTTCGGTGGAGAATTATTCCAGAATTGCTCAGGTCATGTGTGGCAGCAGGGCATACATCAAGCAAAACTCTGGGAAAGAAATACTGTGCTGCTTTTTGTTGTTCCAGAGTTGCCCCTCAGAAGTTTTGCAGTTACCCCACATGGTGTTTCATATGACAAAACCTGAATACCACCATCAGTTAGTCTATTCAGCTGTGGACTTCTATTTACAAATAGATTAAATCTGACAGCTAATTAAACATATGTATACCAATTCACTGGACCATCGGAGCTGGCATTTTGACTTACACAAACTACATTCCTTTTTTTGGTTCTTTAACACGCTGAAGCACAAATGCTGTTACAGGTTATTAAATACAGTGGTGAAAACAAACAAGCAAAACCCAAAAGGCTTGAATAGGTACCAGCACAACCTTCCTACTCATTTGGTTTTTACAAGAAAGAATTTTAGATCCTTATGTGACCATATGGAGAGCAAAACGATTGTTTCTTCTGCAACACATTGTAATGAATTGGCTTGGTTTATCTGCCAGTTCAGTATTTCATTGTAAGTGCTGTTAATATCTAGCTGTCTAACACCATGATGGATTTCAAAAGCAGACTTCAGAAAACATGCAACCAGAAAACAGTCCAAATGAACCTTATGGATATTATTACTGGCAAATCTTAGTCTCTTTGGCTTTGCTTACACTTACATTAACAACAGCTTTTGGAAACTGAAATAAAAACTGTGATAAAAGCCTCACAGGAAAATTCTCATATATATGCTTATTCATTGCTTACAATTTTTAAGCTCAATTTTGGTAATGTGTTGGTTGAAAGCTTATAAACTGCAGATATCAAAAGTGACCTTGTTTTTGAGAATGACAAACTTGTATCAGAGCTGGCATAATCTTTCTAGCCATACAAATTCTGCATTGAGCAGGCACTCTGTCTACTTTGAATCAGAACACAGATTTCATTAGAAGAATCATCATCACTAAGAGGTATCTAGATCAACTGAACCCCTTCTTTTACTTCCTTTGATGGAAGCAGGCAAAACAGGATTTTGTCAAGAACAACATGAGCCAGTAACAACTCTTAATTAGTGCTGGGAGGCACTAGTAGCAAAAATACACAGTATTCTGTACTGCCTGGATGTGGTCTGAAGTAACTGGACTTCTAAAGAAACAACTGGCATGTGATTACTGATACGATATTCTGAAGCAACATTCATTATTCACAAGTCAATAAACACCTTGAAGTTAGCCTAGGTTCCTCCTTTCTTTCTGATAGGCTAATTTCTAAAGTAAAAAACTGCACTGCAATAGTTTCAAAAGTACAGTCAACTCTTAATAATCTGTGGACATTTTGTCTGAATTATATATTAACTGTATGACAGATGCGGAGAGATGGAGTTGGTTCCCTGAAGAACTGTTTGAATTCTACCTGGACTCCAGTATGGCTCCTCATGGATGTAGCTATTCTGTCTCCAGGATGACTGGTGTGGCAGGAAGCCTGAGTTAGTAAGAGATCTGTGGCCCCAACTTGATGCCTGGCAGATCCACAGTGATCATCTACGCATGGTGTAATTAAAACTGGGAGTGCTGTGAAGAGAATAAGCTCAAGTCCAACCAGAATTGTTAGCTTTTCTTTTACCAGTTATGAACCTACTGAGCTTTGCAATGCCTTGGATGCAGGAAAGCTTATGACTTGGGTGTAGTACCAGAGTGAACCCAGCTCAGTGGATTTGCATCCAAGCTGAAAATCTGTCCTAGAGCTTTGCTCACAAAAGAATGCAGAGAGACCATTTCCTCCAGAAGTCCAGGATAACAAGTGCTGAGCTGGAGCAAGACCAGTGGCTTTAAACTAGATCTGAGCTACTTCCATGTGGCCTCACTTGTGTCACATCCCTTGGTATTCATATTATCTGGGCGTTTCTGTATTTCATTAGTCCAGATAGCATAAAGCTGTCTATAAAAAAAACCCTTCATAGCTGGGAGCTCCTATACAAACCAGCCAAGAACACTAATTCCTTCTATGCTTGCTAATCTGTGCATGACAAATACGTGTTCTGAGTGCTTTCCTTTGCCAGTACTGTTCTTCTGGGTAGGATTTAAGGACACTGAACTTTTCTAGTATTTTGCAGTATTCAGTTTTACATTAGGCTTAATATAAAAAAAGCAGTAGCAAGGCAGTGGAGGAACACTATTAGTAACTCATTTTCATTATCCAGATAGACTGTCAGTTTAAGAGTGAGCTACACAGCCATAATAGGAGCTAGCCTGGTAGGAGTCAGCTATCTTTAGTAGTTATGTAGCACCAACTACAAGGTATTAATAACTGTCAAGTTCTACCGTACCGTTACTTTTGCAAAGGGGTCATTCTTTTGTCCAGACCAATCCAATATTTTAAAAAAGTTTTTTAAAAGACAAAAAAATATATGCAGTTGACTGAAAGTGATTGGTGATTCACTCTTAACAAAATCCATGGCATGGTATCAGAGTTTTATGCTACTTGAGGATTACATATTCCTCTAAATCCACAAAAATTCTGATTTCATGGGAAAAGAATCTGCAACACAGTTGCCTTGCCCTTTTTTATCTTAGATTTTGTGAAAACTGAAAAAAACCCCTTTGTCTACACGTGAGTTTTTTCCTTATGTCTCAAACATTCTGCTGACCCACTATCCATGCAAATATATTAAAATGTATTAAAATAAGTAATTAATTGTGAAACATTGAGTTAATAGCTACATCATATCAGCTAAGCTGTTCACAGACTCCTTATGGAAACAGAATTTGGAAAACGAGGAGTTAAAAAACAGAAACAAAGGATGATACAACAGAGAAAAACAATGGAACTGATCCAGGCTGGCAGCTCTCACCAAGTGAACTGAGATCACAGTGAGAGAGTAGGATGCTTCCCTGAGTTGTATTTTAAACCTCCCTATTACACAGCCAGATTGCATAGTTTCTCTTCACAGCTATATTTATCTAATTAATTAAGGGAAACAACATAGCTGCCTATACAGACAGAGCTAAGGCTGCCAGTTTTATACTTTCGTTTTGAATTGGTATTTTGTATGTAAGTAGGATTTTAAAATTCTTTTACTGAACCGTATTTTAAAAAATCTTCCTCTCAGTCCAGCCATACTCACTGACAGAAACTGAGTGGACGTGTTCCCATCTTGATATAGAAGGAATAACAAGAGTGAGATGCTGTGAACTAAGGTGAAAAAAGTGAGTTTGAATAACCTGGCGCTAGCTTAACTTGTCAGGTATTTTGCAGTCCTGCCACATCTGGTCTAGTGCAACGCAGGAGAAATGCAAGAATGAAATACAACAGGGATATATCTGCAAACTCTACATGACCTACTTGTGTAAAAAACGGCTACCTTAAAGGAGCAGAATTATCTTCTCCTTACCGTCTGATAACAAAGACAACCACAGCCAATGGCAATAACCATTCTCACAGACCAGCTTGAGCTGTGCGGTAGGTGCTGCCCCTTCTAAGGGGAGTCTCAGTCTTACTGAGATCTCTGGTAGGGGTCAAGGGCAGATTGCAAATATAATAAACAATGCCAATCCTATTTTCTACCATATGTTATTATTGTATGAAAACACATGCAGCAGAATAGTTGACAATACTGCTATAAAATCAACATACCTGTTAAACCACCAGCCAGACTTTTCCTCTTCAGCACAGTTCCCTTCATAGTTGTCATTGTCCCTGTCTCTAGTACTGAATTTCATTCCTCGATGATCAGCCCACCATTTTACTTCTGGGTGAAATCCACCAGTAAGGGAATCACCAGCTGTGCCAGAGTATTCACCACAGCTCATCTCATAAGAATGCTAATGAAAAATGTGGAGAAAGGAAAAAAAAAAGTAATCCAACATGTCTTTAACCTTTAGCATGTCAGAGAGGGAAACCACAAAGAGGAAACTAATCTGTTCCATTAGCTACTATTTTTATGCTCAGAAATGTCATGCCACTTATACACTGGGTACTAGATAATGAAGGGGTGTAAAGATGCTTACCGGGGTAAAACTTGTCAATAACCTTATATATAAATGACATAATAAAAATAGTATCAGAGTTAGCTTGCAGTACATATTAAGAAATCAGAACATCATGTATCATTATTTTTCATAATATTAACAAAAATAGAAAACCTGCTTTTCTTCATGGCTGTTAAGCCAAACGATTCATACATCTTACAGAAAGTGCGAAATTGAGGTATCAATGTATACCACTATTACTAACATATCTGAAAATTCCAAGCATTTATAAGAAAGAAAATATGATAATAAGGTTCTATACAAACCTCTGAGAAAATGAGGGTACCTGTATGTTTATTGTCTGTCTACAGAATCCACATTTTCATTAAAACTTCTAGTCATTATTTAATATTTTATTACCTCTTCATCTGCAACTCTGAATCTTGCGTATTGTGCAAAACGCCGTTCTCCTTCAAAATCAGTTAGATCAATTCTTAAAGTATAGTTCCCTTAAGAAATAACAACACAAATTATTTTGGTTAAACTAGCTTATCTCACTACTTTTCAGAACAGAGTATTACATACTAGAAGATTAAAATTCTAATTGTGTTTTAATCATGAAACTTATCTGCATCATTGCAGCATATTTTATGGGGTTTTATCTCATTTCTTTATGCATATTAAAGCATATCTTTCTATTCTTTGTCTTTATTCACCTGATTAATCTGAGAAAATTGTACAATTATTCCAGTACAGATTTTCAAGTGTCGACAAAAAAGGTCTAAAAAAATGGCTTATGGGCTTTATATTTTAGTAAGGTGTTTGAGATGGTAATGATAGGATAGTGAGAATCAATCAATAAGCATACACCTGAGGAAATTAGATTTTTATACTCTGAAGATAAAAGAGTTAAATTAGGGCCACATCCTGGTGGCATTGATTTCCATATGAATTAGCTGACTAAGTCAATAGGTAAGTCTTGTATATGCAGCATTCTACAGCAAAGCAGAAGTTAGCTTAGATGGAGTGACTAGTAGAAAGATGGAAATAGCTTTCTAGGACTAGCCTAATCAAGAGGAAAGGCCTAGATTTACCTTCATGCAATAGCCTACACAGGCATGTAAAGCCCTGACTAAATGAATTGGTAGAGCATACTACCTGACTCTGGACTTCTAGTGATGCTGACTGTGAAATTGGTAGACACAATTATTTTAAGGTATACCCCTGCCTACTGTTTCCTGTTTTGCAGGGCATCCTGCATGGCATTGGCCCAATGACAGTTTTGACTCTTTTGTTAGAAAACACATATTCAAATGTGTTTTGTTCTGAAACTTGGAGAAGTCCATGCAGACTAACAGCAGAACTCAGGACTTATGCTAGCAAAAAGGGCAACAAAAAATGGCCTGGAAAGAGCAAAGAAACAGAAACAATAGAAGAACTATTGTTAAAATACAAATCTTACTTTGATTAGTCAAATAATGAAGATTTTTATTTCCAAGCCAATATTCACTGTTTGCCAAAAGAAAATTTCCAAAGCCTTCTTCATAGTCAGTCCAGACCCTGAAAAGAGTATACATGACAAATTTATAAAAAGCAAGTTTGCTTGGATGTTTATTTTATCATACAATCATAGACCACAAATTGGAAGGAACCTCAGGAAGTAATCTAGTCCAATGTTCTGCTCAAAGCAAGGGTCAGCCATGAGGTCAGAACAGGTTGCTCAGGACTTGCCCAGCCAGGTCTTGAAAGGATGGAGGCTGCACGTCCTCTTTGGGCAACCTGCTGACCGTTCTCATGGTGAGAAGGTTTTTCCTTATATCTGGCATGAACCTCTCTTGTTTCAACTTATATATGTTGTCTCTCATCCTCCCACCAGACACCACTGTGAAGAGCCTGTCTACTCAATATGCTCTCAGGCTGCTCTGTTTTCTTAGTGACCTCCTTGTAGATACAGGCAGGCTACTATTAGGTTCTGCTATTCTACTATTAAGCTCTTCTGCAGGCTGAACAAACCTTAGCCTGTCCTCATAGGGCAAGTGCTCCAGCCCTTGATCATCTTGGTCGTCTGCTGCTAAACTCTTTGTAGGTTCATTATATATGGGAACATTAATAAACATGGGAACATTAATAAACAAATATTTTAGACTTTATTATATTATTTACATTGTCAATCTTTATAGAATTATTTCTATTTTTCACACATGAAAGGCTGAATCCCAGTCCAAAGGGTAGTCCTAAGAGGTATATTCAAAATGGTTTAAGATCAACAGATTTTAAGACCAGAAGAAAACACATTAGCTCAGTCCAGTCTCTGGTATAGCACAATTTACTCAAAGTGAAAACATTTTTCCTGGTTAAATCCAGGGGACCTAAGTGAATGTGTAGGTGTATTATAAGCACCGTTTCTTTACTTTCTGTGATTTGATTAAGCTGTGAAACTCCTGCAGCTGAATATACAATTTTGTAAATGGAGGCACTAGCTAGCTGTTTCCAGCCTCGACTTATTGACTGATTCTAACAATTTTTGAACTCGCACTGGTACATAGTTTCAAGAATTAATGTGTGTACTGAAAGCATTGAATCTTTTCCCTGTCTCCAGTGGCTTTGAAATACCTTCTCAGTGGTTTTGGTTTCATGACATGTTCTAATGGAGACAAAAATATGATCTATTTCCATGATGAGAAGCAACCACACTTCAATCAATGGGTGAAAGTATTAGGCTGTGGACAGGCAGTCGTAAAAGAAAGCAGCCTCTGCGACTTAAGTAGCTGGTAGTCTCTGGCAAGGAAGAAGAACGGGTGGCGTGTGCTGGTAACAATTGTAAACTGCTACAGAATGCTTCTGTAGCTTGTCTGACCATATTTCATAAAATAAGAATAGCGAAGTTTTCTTAGCTGGATTGCAGTTTTTCATCCTCTCTGGGGATTGCTTCTCTATTTCATAAGGTATTGTAAAGTTAGCTACAGTAATTATAAACACAGGTAAGACACAAATCCACTGAAGGATGCAGATACGTGAAAAGCAAATTGGGCAAAGCGGAGGTTCTAAAAACCTTCTTATTGCTTCTAATATCTGTAAGTACTTGTCGTTTTTTATATTCAAGTCTCACAGCACCAAAAATCTCAGTTCTGGACATTTCCCCAAAAATTCTTGAGTCTTGGAAAAGGCAAGGGGGTTAGGTGCCCACAGATCAAGTTCTCACCCATCTTACTCTTCCTGGAGACATTTTACCATGAACTACAAATTACTCTGTGGTGGGTTTCTCTCATACTCGTTTGCTGATGGTATTACAGTTCAAGCAGATTGCTTACATTTATGGTTTTTTAGATGTTTATTATTTGCAAAAGACAGGGTAGTCCTTTACTTGTCATTAAGAGTTCTTGCTCCAACAATTGTTAATGCATCTGGCATTGATGTGTCCTCATGTAAAATGCACGAGCTGTTAGAAAAAGACTAGAAGAGATGTCTGCCAGAAGAGAGCCAGAACCAGATGTGGTATCTCATCTGGAGGCTGTCCCACGGAATAACCATTCCTCCCTTTTATCTGAGATAACAACTTATTCATATAATTCTAAAGGTAAAATTTAACTTAGCTCCATCTGGTTTAATGTTACTCCACTTTGTTTCCAATTTGAATGACTAAATCTAGTACCTACCTATCAAAATTCTGGCTGCCATCGGAACGTCTCTGAAAAACAGTCCAACCACCCCCTTCAGACATGTCACAGAAGGCAGTGAATTCAGTAGGACTCTGGATAGGTTTCATCTTATAAAATCCACTTTGCTTATGGCCGTCATTGTAGATTTCTGCACAATCTGTTCACACAACATTAATTGGGCACAGTTTTTTTAGTCCTATACTTACTGGCAAAATCAGAAATCAAGTCAATAACAGAAATCAAGTCATGTCATACAAAAGTCACATATGAACCAAGTTAATACAAAGGAAATACCTCTACAAACACATTTTCATGATTTTGGTGCATTTTCTTTTAATTGTGTGCTTTAAAACTTTATTGAGCTGTAATTATTTTGACATTTCTTTAAAATAATCTTTTTTCCACCATAAAATACTATCATTTTTTTTTTCATTTGACTAGCAAAATAATTCCTCTGGTTTAAGTGGTGTCACTTTTAATTTACGATTATATAATCCACATTAGAATCCTGTTATAATCATAGAACTTCCCTACATATAAAACATACAGTAACCTTTAAAAACAAACTTGTACTTCTATGTCTAGAAAGTCCACAGGAGAACTGCCAAAAACAATCAACAGTGTTAGAAAAGGGAAACAGTTGCTCGACCTGATACAAGATCTTGTCCCTTGTACAAACAGGAGCAAAACTATATAGAAGCCTACCCCCAAAAAGCGCAATGTGTGTGTAAAATGATGCCACTTCAGCCTAATATCATTTACAGTCTGGTTTCCATTGGTGTTAATGACTAATCAGCATTTACAGCAATGACAAAATTCAGAGCGCTTGAAAAGATAACAGCAATGTAGTTGTATAATCTTATCTTTTTCCTCTAGGAGTTAAGAAATGAAAGGAGTTCTTTGTTTATATGTAATCTACCATCAAGCAGTCATACAGAAAAGATGTATAATTTTCAACATTTCTGTTTTTCCTGGCGAAGGTAGGGCTGATTAACTGTAAGATTTTCTCTGAAACATTTATGAACTTGCTGGCTGAACTTCCAGGCCAGTTCGGAACTTTCTGTACTATCATATTTCTCCTCAGTGAAAGTGTCAGTGAAGATTAGACATAGAAAATAAACACTTTATACTAAAAACAAATAGCTATGCTAGGATTAGAATAAACTCTAGTAGAAAACACGACTTAAATAACAGCTAAGTTGTCTTTCTAGAGAATGTTTGATTGGCTTACAGAAAATAGCTTTTCCTGTCCATTATTTTCTTAGTAGGCTAGCAAAACACTTAAGCATATTTTAATTTTTAGCAGGCGTATATAATGTGGAATTTCTCCCTCACTATCTAACCCCAAATTATCCAGCTCTGTTGAAATTAAAATGCTACAGCAGTTTGAATGAAATAATGCAGTATCAACAGGAAAAAGCATTTTCCAAGCTATAAGGAAAGGGAAAAAAAAATAATCAGAAATCAGAACAACTTAGATCTGTTATTTAGAATCACATTTTAAGAGAATGAACAGAGACATATACTAAGAAAGGACAAATACCTTTCAGCTAATGTGGTTTTAATAATCTTTTTCAGTAACAAATGAGTCAGCCAAAATAATAAAAAGTATTCCAGGATGCTGAATGCATAAATAAATATACAGCTAAAATTTAAAGTCAGACTTACAACTGCTTTTAATTTCATTTTAATGGTGCTTTATTATATTTGATGCCTTGTTACGTGTTGTGATTCTTCCAGCAGCATAAACATTACAAGTATATTCAAACAAGGCTATTAAAATTATGGAAGTTTAGACTCGCTGGCACTGGACAGTGCTAGAATGAGAACTAGAAACAAACACCATCCAAGAATCTGACCCCCAAATTGTATTTTCAATCCAACTGTTTGTTTGGCTGGTGTTTTATTATTTCAAGAGTTTGGACCTCACTCCAGCTACTACGGGCTAATACACTCAGCCTTCTTCCACTGCTGAGGGACTGGATCACCACCAGAATCCTGGTGAGATTACAAAAACAACTTAAACCCAATATTTTAGGAGCTGTGATGTCCTGAGCTGAACCTAACTCAGTCAAAATGGTGCAACCTACAGAATTAGAATTATTAAAGTGAGGTGCAGATGTCATTATGCTAAGCTTATGTATGTAAATACGGATGTCTCAATGACTTTACAGACTGGAACGGAGTTGGTGTGTGCTTGTAACCCACGCAACCCTGTGAATGTGTGAATGTGAACTGAGCTTGTGGGTTTAGAACTTTTTGAAAGTTTAGAAATCTGGGTTTATTAACATTTTGTAAATGCTTATTATTGGCCTTTATCTGCTCTATTGCTGATATTTATTCTGAATGTATTGTTCACTGATTGTTTTTTAATTACATGCTATTAATAAATCAATCAACCATTTCAATCCTGATTTGATTTATACTGTGTGACATTAACAATTTTTTCCTGCGCAGCAGGCCTAGGTAAAAGCTGAACACTGTGTTTTAAACAAACCATTTTCTATGAGCTTTTAAAACAATAAGTCAATGGGCCCAATTGTACTAAAGCTTCTTGGTATCGTTACAATGAATGGAAATGAAAAGAATAGCTTCATTTCTAACCTGAATACTGTCTTTTTCCTCCCAAGTCAATGACACTGTTTTCATCTCCTCTGTCACTGTACTGAATCTCTTTCTTCTCTAAAAGCTGAATAATTTTTAACTGCTGCTGTTTCACATGATGTTCCAGGAGCCTCACCTGGCCCTGAAGTCGTATCTGCTCTTGAAAACAGTTCTGTAGCTCCTAGAGAGGAAAACATATCTTACTGTAAAATCAACATTTTTTTGTCACAGTTAACATGTGACACAAAAAAACAACCAACCAAACCATAAATAAAATTTAACGTGAATAAAACATTTTGGTAACAATTTCCTACAGAGACTATGTTGACTTCCACCTCAATTGCTACCTCTATTTAAAATTATTTTGTATATTACAGAGTGTCCAAACATATACCTGCTTTGCACAGAGACCTTCTCTTTAGTGGCTATAACTACCAGCTCTCACTGCAAACGTGAAGAATCATAAAGATTGCTTATTCCCTATCACCTGCCTTATACAGATTTACAATCCAACGAGGCCTGCTACTAACATTGTCAAGGTTCTAAAATTCCAGAGTTTTAAAGAAATACAGTCCACACTGATATGTTTTCAACTTCATTGTGCATTTTTCAAAGGCTTTTAGATTACACACTTCTTATGATAAGAAACTTAACATTGCCAACATAAATAAAGTTTCAAGCTCATTTTCAGCATGCTAAAATAAATAGTCCCTAGAAGCTGCGAATATGCATGAAAAATAAAAGTTAAAAACTTAAAGTCAGTATTGTGCTGTGACTTTTACACTTAATTTGTCATGAAAAGTGGGTGAGAAATGTAGCAATTCTGATATGGTGATACCTGGCACTCATTTCACCCTGGTGCAAATACAGATACATGACAAGAGAGCTGGAATAACTGCTCCAAATTCTGACATGCTGAATGTACGCAGAGCAATAAATAATTGGGTTTAGATTAATGACTATGGTAAAATAGCCAAAGTGAACAGAACCCAGTCTAGGGAGCTTAAATTAAAACAGCCTGCACAGTCTCAATAGATATGAAACAAATCTGATTTCAACATGGGGAAAAAAAGCCTTTGGGGTTTTATGATACATTTTACAAATGTAAAATAAGGTTTTGCATCAGTAACACTGTGCCTGCAATTTTATATGAGCAAACAGGGGTTAGTAGCTATGGTGCTTGCACGAGAGCACAACTAGCACCGTGAAAGCAAAATCAGAGGGCAACTTTTTGGAAATCTGATATGCAAGATCAAATATGCAGTAGTTCTAAAATGGTGCAACCTTATTCATAGGGCAACATTATTTACATGAGCTAAGGATGCAGACCTGTAACATTTTCCATTCTTATGGAAGAGCTTATATCTTAGAACATTGCCCTATCACACTGAACTATAAAGAGATCTGGAGTAGCATACTGATGTGCACCTCCACTGGCACCCGTATATTTTCATTTGTATCAGGCTTAGGCTTCACCTGTTTTCCATGAACACTCCCACCAAAATGTTTCTTGTCGCTTTCTTGCTGCAGTGATTTTTTTTTTTCTTATGGTGATACCATTCTGTAAGTTTCAATGCAGCACAAACACAGTTCTGGTTAGACTGCCTTCCTTGCAGTACCATTCACCACAACTCCCAGAATAGACTTTGTGAATTAAACTAACAGTATTAATTAGAATCTACATTTTATGACATGCAGATTTTTGTCATAATTTTCATTTTCGTACTAGTTAAAAAGCAGAGTAACTTCTACTGCTGTCAAGGAACATCCACAGAAATCATGTCTATAACTATGACCTGTTATTTCTGATAGAAATAAATGTTGCAGATGTCCAGGCCCCATTGCTTTTTCACTAGAGAGGACTCAATCAACAAACAGACAGATGAACTAGAGACATTTCAAGAGAGTATTTGAAGATAAAAGGATCTATGTTCATGAGTTCAGTAAAATGGTTCCTAGCCATCATGTTCCATTCGCCTGCAATATTTAGTCACACTGGAAAATTTGGTAATCAGCCATGTTGACTTTGCAGAACAATCCTGAATATACGCCTCTGCTTTAAGTATTTCTGAAGCCTATCAGATGCTTGCTTTAATTCATACTTAACTGCAATCTGATATACACGGTGGAATAAAAGAATGGGGAATATACACGTGGCAGGACTAGGCAGTTTGTCAGTGACCTGTTCGAGAGGAAGAGGTTCAGCTGCCTTTCTGGATTTGGGCTGCCCATGCCAGGCTGCTTTGGCAGCAAACGTGTCTGCAGACTCCCAACTCTGTGCTTGCTACCAGGTCCTGAAAAGCCATTAACGTGCTTGACCACAAGGAGGAGCTGTAAAGTGAGATGCACGTTTAACAAACACTAAAATTTTTAGAATAAACAAAGCAGCCAATGACCTAATATCCCTAGAGTCCTATCTTATTTAAGAATACTCCCTTAAAAATCTTTTTCAGTTGTTGATAGCTATATGAGCTCCTTAGCATTCCCTCCTTTTCTTCTAGCAGGAAACAAGAGAAGAAAATACTTCAAATATATGCACATACAGAGACAAACTTGCTACAGTGGCTTAGAGGGGTGTTATTTGACCATAAGCACTGGTTAATGTGTGACCTGCTGCATATTACAAAGAAAAGATGCACTATTATGCAGTCTTTCCAGGGTGCTTGTCTCAACTTGTGTCTGCTGCTTCATATAAACCCTGCAGAAAAGCTGAGCTGAATTGGGAAGTTCGGAAGAGGCTTCCTTGACAGGTGTCGTTCTCAAATTAGTCCCAAGTGCATCTAGAAAATTACGGAGAACCGGAGTGCCTCCTCACTGACATCTCTTTCTGACAACTCCAGACAAATCCCATTTTTTTTTCTGAACAGCAAAACAAAAATTCTCATATTTGGAATTCCACACCTATTTTTCCCATGGGACAATCACAAATTAGCTCTGTAACTTCAAGGTGGATCAATGCGGCTTTTAGATCTGCAGGTTACCAGCCTGTTCTTTTAATGTACTACTACACTTTTTCACAGGATAACTCTTTTAAAGTCACTGGAGTTAAACCAGTGCACAGCTGGAGTAATACAGAAGCAAAATGTAACCTAGGGTTCTAAGAGTCCACAGCTATAACATAGTGCTGTTCTTCTTGTTAGAAGTGGACCAAAGTTAAACTTACAATGTTGAAATACTCAAAAAAAAGTGAATTTGATCGTGCCTATCTCCAATGGACACTAGTGCCCGCTAACTGAAACCAGACTGAACATAACCTGTTATGTTTCAGTGAAGCAACTGTTTGTACTACACATTGAGAAGCAATTACCTAACAACTGTTGACAGCTCTGCTCTTGGACATGTGGTCCCATATTTAACCAGCTGCTGCAATTAACATGCATTCACAATCTTTATTTCATTATTGTGTGAATTATTTAGCAGCTAGTGAAATTCCATTAAAATGGATGCTATAAATTAGACTCGGAATACTTCTATGAAAACTGTAAAACCACAAAATTTTTACTTGAGGTGCTATTTCCTTTATGTTTAGAATTCAAATGAGCTCCAAAAAAAAATCTCTAATGAGATTAGTGTTTTAATGAGATTAAAATGTGAAAACTTAGAGGTAAATTTCAGAATGTTCCCAGTTTTTAGTCACATGGTCAGCTAAAGCCCATAATATTCCAAAAATCAAAAGAAAGCAAGTGCATTTCATTGTAATGCTTTTTTCTTGTTAGGCTTTATAAAAATATTAGTAATATTTTTCTCCACTGAGCAGAAGTGATTACAGAGGCAGGTGCTTCCTATGCTGCCCCTGTAGAGCTACTTATCTGAAAAAAAGGCTTCCGTAAGATAATGTAAGCCACAAACAATGATGCTCACCTAGTCGTAAATTCAGCAACCGCTTCCACCTAGGCAATTACAAATCAACAATTCAATCTCACAGGTCCCTGCTAGTTAGGACTTGAATATCAAACTAGGAAGGACAGCCAGGACAGGCAGTACAGGACTGGTGAGGTTAGAAGTATTTTAAGCAGTGGAGTAAGTGTGTGTGTGTGTGTGTGCGCGCGTGTGTGTGTGTTGGGGCTTTTGTTGGAGAGGCAGAAGGTTTTGGGAGCTAGAAGTGAAGGAGCTGTCATCATTGTTTCTGAGTGTGAATTATAACATAGGAACAAGGGAACAAATAAGAATATGAAGCTGTGGATCTTATTTGAGAAAAAGTTACAGGGCAAGTGGGCAAGGTAGAAAAGGATAGAAACATTCTTCATCCTGAGTGTCAATGACCAGAAATACTACTTGCTGCAGCCACCGCTTTAGCAATTCCTGGGGTTTGCCTTTCTGTAAGTATGCTGCTCAAAACTAAAGGAGTTATTCTGAGTTAGCATTACTCCTAAATGGTCTTGTGTGCCTTCTGTACAATGTGCCTGTTAATGCATCATACGATACCTTTTTTAGCAAAGATGCTCTATTGCCTCCTATTTCATGATGGATCCAGTAACAAACTGACTGGATTGCTTTCTTCAGGGCTACTGCCTAGTCATTTATCTTCCATTGTATATTTATGCATTTGTTTCCTCTTTCCTTATGGGAAATTTGTCCCTGCTGAAGATCATTTGACGTTATTTGCCAAGTCTTTCAGTTTTGTTCTGAATTCTAACCTTTTCCGTCAAAGGTTCTGCCATCCCATGTAGGTGAGATACATTGTAAGCACTACGCAGGACAAGACATAAAATATGTAGAAGAAATTCTATACTCAAATTTAATTACTAGAACTTACAGAGCAGCCAATGCCATCCATCAAGCTAGCTGCAAGGACAAAATTGATCACTATCAAAATCTTCATCCTTTGGAAGCTGTGAAATAGAGGAACAAATTAAATACTAGTTAAGTTAAATATTAAAACAAAATATTTACAACTGACATCTTAAATTTTATTTGAAACAATCTATTGAACGTATAATTAATTTCTTACATATTGGAAATATAATGTGTATTTAGGCTTCATTACAAATATCTAAAATAGTCTGATCAAGTACAACTCCAAAACCCCGTAAAAACAGAATTTATCCCTTTAGGCCACTTTGTATCAGAGCTCTCCATATATTTTAGGACAGCTGTTCAAGATTTGAACCCACACATTTTATTGTGAAACTAGACAAAAGCAAAATAGCATTTTAAAATGCTCTGAAAAGCAAGACAATATTCCTTGTTGGTCCTTTAAAGTTGGGAGAAAGCTCTCTGTTATATTCAAGTAATTAAAATCTGAATTGGGCTAGCTGTCCTTGAACTAAAGATTTGTGCAACTTCTGTGTGCCAGGAGATAATTTTACTGTTATAGAGTAATTTTGGGGAAAAATGCATAGTAGTTATTAGCTTTTACTCTAACAGTGACAAAAATGTACTCTTTCAACTGAGAGCTATGCATATTTTGTACTCTATGACCCATAGCATTTTAAATCCCATGATTTCATATGAAAATTATTTTGTATGCCAAAACAATCACCATTGTATCTCACTGCCTTGGAAACACTAGCTGATAGAACTGTAAGGTAGATGTGTGCTTTTCAGCTCACAGATGAGAAACCCAAGGCCTCCAATTACTAGAATATTTATATAGATTATACATGAGCCAATTCTAAATTGATTAAACTGCTGCAAGCTATCAACTGAGGAATTTTTTTTTAACTTAAAATATTTTCATTTAGTGCTAATGCCTGTTTAAACCAAAATATGTGTCCACTCTGCTTTTTCTACTTATTAAACTAAATCAGCTAACTACATGTTAAAACACTTGTGGTTAGACAAAGCGTAAGACCTATAATAGAGATTAATGATTCAATGTCAGCATGTGCTTATTGAAACACCCACTTTATGGAAATTTCCACTCATGTTTCTACAGGATTTAATATAAAACACCAGTGGAACTTTGGCAGACTGTGCTCTTTACTGTACAAAGATAAGCAAGGTGCTTATGTGAAGTATGTTAAGTTCTTGTAAAATTGGAAAAGTCCAACTTTATTTTCACTGCTCTCTGAAAACCTCATGCACGAGCACAAATTACAGCCCAGCCAAATTTCAGGTTTTTAACACCTACCTATAAAATACTTAGGATGCTTTTTAAAATTACAGTTATCTTATTTAAGTAAGGAACATTTTTTTATTTCTAGTTCTGAGTTTTGCTGGTTTGAAAGCATCATATTTGAAAGCATAGAGTTGTGAGGCCCAAGTATATCTGTAAAAAGCTCGTTATGCCACTTCCTGCACTGCACTGGTGCAGACACAAGGTGTGGAGGGTACTCTCTACCCATTGATCATGTTACGGACAGCTCAGACGGTTTTCTTTAAGCATTTTGGACATATGCAACATCTACCATTAAGCTGCAAAACACTATACTAAGTTGATGCCTATCTCTAAGGATTCCAAAGGAATCCATTAAAAATTACCGATAAAATGTTTGAGTAGAAAATGTGAACTGAAAATCTTAGGCTAAGTTACTTCTATGCCATAACATTTCTGAATTTTAAGTTTTAAGTTGTTCTTCATGCTAACCAAATAAATGTTGTATCATTTGAATTAGAAACTTTACCATAATTCAATGCAACAAGTTCTGCTACTGTTTGAAGTGGTGAATCCTGTGAATTTCAGGCTTAAAAAAGCAGGTGGGAGGAATCTTCAAGAATTGCCTGGCACTGAATTCTGTTATTAATTTAGATTTCAGCGGTTTCTGCCATCATAAACATGTGCTTTCACCTTACGACAGTAGTAATTATGGCTATTGCAGCCACTATTGTTTTGAAAACAGCTGTTGCCATCTGTTGCGATGACACTGCCTGCTGTGGGAGAGGACAACCCCCAAATGATCCATCTCTGATAACTGCTGTCCCGACGTCATGCATATCTTAAATATGTTTTCTAGGAGATAAAGGACTATATTTTTTTCACTGGAAGATTCATATTTAACTGTTCTGCTTTATTCTCTGCTATTTTCATTATAAAAGCACTCTGTTTTTCCTCACATTAGACTTAATATTCAAACTGTTCTATCATAATTTCACTGTGAGTGCCTGAATACTGAGATCAATCTTTAAAAGGTTGCACGGCTTTACAACTGCAGTATTCTTACATTTTTAAAAAAGACTATCAATCAAGTAAATCTTGCATACTCTTCAGAGAAATTTATGTTAGTAAAACCAAATAAAATAGAAGACTATCAGGCACAATCAAGGCAGATCACGTCCCTTACAGCATGTGTGAGGTACTACGAGCAAGCTGCACAAAAGGAACGAAGAGCTGAGAAGTGTAGTGTGTGCAGTTGGTTTGGTTTGTCATCTTCAGATGAAGTCACCTTTCTATTTAAAGGGTGCCTCTTTCTAAAGCATGCTCCTGTTGTGGGGAACTTCATAAGGGCTGCATTTGGAAGACAACTTTGTTTGCACTAGCTTTAGCACTGAACTAAGATATGCTCAAAAGACATACCAAAATATATAGGAATAGTCTCATAAATAAAATTCTAAATGTGATGATTTAAATGCATTGCTCGAGATACTTTAATCCTGGAGCTTAATTTTTAAGAAAGAATGTTGGACAGTAAGGCCAAGATGGATTATTGATCCTGTAGTCACTCACAGTATGAGCTCACTATGATTGTAAGAGAAGCAAGAGGCGTATAAAAAGGGAGAAACCAAGAGCTCCATTTGGCAGACATGTCAATCAGAAACAGGGAAGACACTGAAACAGGGAGGACACAGGAAAAAAACCACAGAGTGGACCTGAAGCAGGAACAAGGGTTAGGGGGACCAAAATCTGTGTGCTGTTGTCCTCCCAAAAAAAAGAGAAAGGTCAAGAAGACTTGGAAGAGACATGAAAACTCAAGCTTGGAAAGGCAATGGCTGATCCAATGGTCTTTCTCTGCTTTTGTCGCTCCCAGCAGGGAGACCCAGACAAGGCAGAGGACAGTGAGCAGTGCTGATCCTGGAAGAGGCAGTACCTTGTACCTTTGAGCCAATTTCTCAGCAGGTATAAACTCCCGAGGTTTATCTGATCCCACAGTTGCAGTGACATGAGATTCACTGAGTGGTCAACAATACACTGATAAGAAAAGCAGTAAATAGGGTCAAGCCCCCTACATGTTCAAAGTGCTTTGCGTACACTAACTGAATCAGCAGGTTCAGTCTTGGAATTAATGCGGGTAACTGTTTAGTTTTCCACATTTCTGCAAAAAGTTTTAGAAAAGGTTGTATTAGTAACAGTTTTCTGAAATGTTTTTTGGTATCCATCCATGCTCTTTGGTAATATGTAAAGCTAAAGTTCTGTTCAAGGGAAGCTTAAAATCTTGCTCTACAATGACTGCTTTGCAAGTCAGTTGCTTAAATTAATTTCTCCACTCATTTAAATATTTACCCTGGTTGTTATAAAGCTCTTTAAAATGCATTATCCAGAAATATATGTGGAGGGTAAAATAAGTAAATTGTAGGGAGAGAATACAGCTGCTGATAAACATTCACATACAATGAAATAAAAACATTCATTCAAAAAAGCTGCGAAAAAATTACAAATCTTAATCAATGTCACAGATGAAAACAACTGCATAACTTAGCACATATTTTTGTGTCGTCGATGCTAATGAACCCAAAAAGTTAGTAAGTGCTGAGAGACTTCCAAGACTTCTGTTATAACACCTGTGCTGGTTTAACAAAACCAAAACCCACAAATTTGTGCAGGGAAGATCCCTTTCCAAGAAAATATTCATCTCAGACAGTAGTCATATGGATTAATTATCACTCATGATGATAGAGTGTGAAAAATTCAGTGCATATTTTCAGGCTGAAAACACAAGCCCTTAACAGCTGAAAAAAAGAATCACTTTCTGTTTTAATAAAGTTGAAGTTTAAGGGCAAAGCCACTATTGTTTTGAAAACAGCTGTTGCCATCTGTTGTGATGACACTGTCTGCTGTGGGAGAGGACAACCCCCAAATGATCTATCTATCTCTGATAACTGCTGTCCCGACGTCATGCATATCTTAAATATGTTTTCTAGGAGATAAAGGACTATATTTTTTTCACTGGAAGATTCATATTTAACTGTTCTGCTTTATTCTCTGCTATTTTCATTATAAAAGCACTCTGTTTTTCCTCACATTAGACTTAATATTCAAACTGCTCTATCATAATTTCACTGTGAGTGCCTGAATACTGAGATCAATCTTTAAAAGGTTGCATGGCTTTACAACTGCAGTATTCTTACATTTTTAAAAAAGACTATCAATCAAGTAAATCTTGCATACTCTTCAGAGAAATTTATGTTAGTAAAACCAAATAAAATAGAAGACTATCAGGCACAATCAAGGCAGATCACGTCCCTTACAGCATGTGTGAGGTACTACGAGCAAGCTGCACAAAAGGAACGAAGAGCTGAGAAGTGTAGTGTGTGCAGTTGGTTTGGTTTGTCATCTTCAGATGAAGTCACCTTTCTATTTAAAGGGTGCCTCTTTCTAAAGCATGCTCCTGTTGTGGGGAACTTCATAAGGGCTGCATTTGGAAGACAACTTTGCTTGCACTAGCTTTAGCACTGAACTAAGATATGCTCAAAAGACATACCAAAATATATAGGAATAGTCTCGTAAATAAAATTCTAAATGTGATGATTTAAATGCATTGCTCGAGATACTTTAATCCTGGAGCTTAATTTTTAAGAAAGAATGTTGGACAGTAAGGCCAAGATGGATTATTGATCCTGTAGTCACTCACAGTATGAGCTCACTATGATTGTAAGAGAAGCAAGAGGCGTATAAAAAGGGAGAAACCAAGAGCTCCATTTGGCAGACATGTCAATCAGAAACAGGGAAGACACT